CAGATTTTCTCATCTTCAAAATGAGAATAATAGTACCTTTCTCATAGGGTGATTGTGAGGGTTAAATAAGATGATGACTGTAAATGTAGTAACTGATACATGCTGTTATTTATATTATTCATTTTTGTTATTCTATAAAGTCAGAAATAATGATCAGTTAATAGTGATCAAAAACAGTGGCTCCCAGGAGCTGGGTTTATAATTCAACAAGAAAGAGCACTTGCTTTATTAGCAAGTATAAGGACCCAAGTTCAAACCCCCAGCACCTATGCAAAAAGCCAAGTGTGGACACACATGAGCCTAGAACCCTAGCCCCAACAGGGAAAGCAAAAGCAGGAGGACTACTTAAACTTGTTGACTACTACCATAGCCCCAGATTCAGGAAGAAATCTGTCTCAAAGGAATAAGGCGGAGAATAATAGAGCAGGGTACCCAATATACTCCTCTGGCTTCTGTATACATGACACAGCATGTCACACACACACACACACACACACACACACACACACACATCTTTAAAAAAATAATTTTAGCCTGTTGTCGTGGTACTTGCCTTTAGTCCCAGCACTCAGGAGGCAGGGGAAGGTGTATCTCTGTGAGTTAGAGGCCAGCCTGGTCTACATAGTGAACTCCAGTCCAGCAAGGCTGAGTTTTCTTTTGAGATTCCTTTTCAAAACAAAGAAACAAGAAACAAAAACAGTTTTTCCTAAACCTGAATCTTGGTCTCAGACACTTTGGAGATGTTTGTTGTCCCTTCTCCTTCTGGAATCTAAGCTTCTTCAAGTGACCTCAAATTCTCAGCCAGTCTTTGAAACCTCTGACTTAAAGAAGTCTATAAACCCTCAATGTCAGTGGTTTCAGTGGATACAACTGAGTCATTTCAGAGGAATTCCTGTCACTCCTCAATCTCTCCTAAAAAGTTCTATCTTCTCTCATTCCAAATAATGTTCTATCCCATACACAGAAACATAGAACACACATCCTACTCACAGACCACAGCCTGGATTGAGTCATGGCTATGTATGGATCCCAGAAATGCAAGAGCACTCTCTTGTTAGCACATAATATATAGTAGCCCAGCAAAGACTTACGTGGTAGTGGGGAGTTGCCTGACTAGCTAAAATACTGATTAATAATGAGCACTTAACAATATTATTCCTAGACCTCCTTTATGGCCAGATCTACCTACCATACCTGTTTATCTCAAAACTAGCACTCTTTGTCTAGTCAGCAGACTGTTAGCAAACTGAAAATTGGAGAAAGTGTTAAATCCATGAATTCCAAACAACTGCCGTTACTCTAAATGCACAAATACTATGTACAAGGAGAAACCTCTATCCTGGGAACCCAGTGGTGAGTCTCTACTTTCCAGTGTGTACATGGATAGTCTTGATCTTAACACATGGAAGGTAGCAAGTGTGTCCATTGCAGTTTTAGAAAGCCTGGGGAAGTCTGTTCAGAGGCGGTATAATGAGAACAGCTCTCCAAGGCCTTGATATTTTCTCAGGAATCAAACCCATACGCTCACTCATTTGAAACCAGACAGTGGTTAGAAATGGATCTGTTCATTTTCAATCAACCTGAGGGGTAACTAAGGCTGGCAAAAAAAAAAATCACTGTTTGATGCCAGCTGATCCACGGCCCCCAGGTGCTTTGATTTGGATCCCAGCTGGGATTTCTTTCCCTATGAAGAGGCTTTGGCACCAGCTTTTTATCATCCACAATAAGTACAAATAACAGCAGGGAACCAGGCAGCACAGGTGAAATTAAGCTCTGTGACAAATGATTTGGTTTATTTCTGTTAACAACCATGATTTGACCTGAACTGCTTCAATTAAGAAGTCAGAGCAGGTGCCTTTGGTTCACTCATTATATTTGAAAGAGAGAGAGAGAGAAAGAGAGAGAGAGAAGGACATGAAACAGAAAAGATGACAGAACATTAATTCAGTGTGGCATATGGAAGCCTGTTTGTGAATAAGAAGATGAGGGGCTGCGTGATTTCACTTCTTCCACCCCCATTCTGCATTGTAATGTTCTAAGAAAGATCACAAACACTGTATTTATGAGAGCTCATTATGGCAAAGTGTCTATTTGATGAATGGTGTCACTGATTAATGAAGACTTGAAACAATTGGATTCCAACTCAAAAGGAGCACACAGCTTTTAAGAAAAATATCAAATAAATATCAATCCTCCTGCCTTAAAGCTATCGCCCATGTTTCTGTCTTTTAAAAAATTATTTCTTTTATTTTTTGAGATCATAATATATCATTTTCCTTTTTTCTTTCTTCTCTTGAAACCCTCCCCCCTCATTACTCTTTCAAATTTATGGCTTCTTTTTCCATTAATTGTTGTTACATACAAACATGTTTACCTAGACAGACAGACAGACAGGACAGACAGACAGTCAGACAGACAGTCAGATAGATAGATAGATAGATAGATAGATAGATAGATAGATAGATAGATAGATAGATAGATAGA